GCGGCAGCGCCGGGCTTACCCTGCCCGCTGCGCTGGGAGGAGGCGCCAGCGGGTCCCGGGGCCGCCTGCGCCATGCCGACCAGCTTCACGGTGGTGCCGGTGGAGGCGCAGGGCGAGGAGCGGGGGCCGGCGGAGCGGGATGGGCAGCGGCAGGAGGAGGAAGAGGACGACGAGAGGGACCGGGGCTCCGGTGAGAGAGGGGGGAGCGGGGAGATGCCCGGGGGCAGCGCCTGAGGACAGCGCCGGCGCTTTGTGTGCGGGGGAGTGGAGCTGCCGCGTGGGGTGGGCCGGCTCGCCGCCGGAGGGCCCCTGGACCCTGTGGAGAGGCCGCATCGCCTCTCCGCAGCTGGCGGTGCCGGGGCTACCTGTCCAGGTGGAGGAGTGTGCCTCGGGAGAGGGCGAAAGTCCGGCGCCTGGGGTGGCTGAGAGCTTGTTTCTCTTTGTTTCCATAAGCCGTCGCCGCTGGCCGAAAGGAGGAAGCGCACCTGGGCGGCTCCGGCCGGGGCAGCGGAGCAGCCCGGCGGCGGGCGCGGCACCCTCCCGCCCGGGGCGGCGTGGGGCGGTCAGTCCGCCTCCCGCTTGCAAGGGGGAGCGGGAGTAACCAGTGCCGCTGGCAGTTCAACAGGCAGGCGTAAAAGCTCTGTTTAAAAGGCAAGTCCTGCTGGAGCTCAAGAGAGAGAGAGAGAGGTAGGAGGGAAGATTCGGACTGTGGAGAGGAGCAGTCTTAACCTGGCTTGCTCCACGTGTTTTTCTAGGTATGTGCTTTTGCACCAGCGACCGTGTCTTGGATTAAGTAGGTGTTTGGTACCGAATGGCGTGGTGTTGGGAGCCTTGCCTCCTGCTAGGCCTCGCCCCTGAACCCGCCTGGGGGAGCAGAATCAAGCCTGAGGTGGAGCTCGGGCATCGCGAGTGAAGGTCTGGTCAGGGCAGCCTCTTCTGCAGCGGGATGAGTATTTGTCTACAAGCGGTGGTGGGGAAATGAGTGCTTTTCTCACTTGGATGATGAGGCACTGCTAGGGAAGCAATAACTCTTTCTTCCTTCGGCTCAGAAGCCCTTAACGCTTCCTCTTTCTGAAGCGTGTTGCAGCAGCGATACCAAGTATGGTGCTTGAATCACTGCTGGCACTGTGAGAGCTGGTTGGATCTTGCACATTATTTTGGACACTGTCTTACAATCAATACTCGTTCTTAATTTTTTTTTTTTTAGATGATCATAGGTGAAAAGATGGGTTTTTGTAAAAGGCAATTCCTCATAATGGTGGCTTCTCCTTTTTGTTGTATAGATCACGGATAAATAAGGCTAATACCATGTGATGTGGGATGTGAATGTAAAGAGATGAAAACAGATATTTGACAAACTTAATATATTTACATTATTTTAATTGCTTTTTGCATAAAGATTCTTTAGGAAGATGATCCAGTAAAACACCAAGCTGACAAAGTTGGGTTGTTTTCTCCCAGAGCTTTCTCCCCTCAAACCCCTACCTACCCATAAAAGAGATATACTACATGCATTTCCTTTGGTATATTCAAGCGATGAGCAAGTGTTCTAATAACCGCCACTTTTTTTTCCCCAAACTAAATGGAATAGAAAAAATAAAATAGTATAAACTGCGGCAACAGTTTGTTTCCTGTACTGGATGGATGACAGCAGTACAGCATCAATCTGTTTGGGCAGTCTTCCTTATGGTAGAAGAGCTAGTCAGAAAGGCATGGAGTGTGGTGTTCAGTGAGATGGCATCTCAAAATACTGAACATACGTAAAGGCATAGTTAGACAGTTGTTAGACTATGCTTATATATGAAGCATCTGGAAGGCTTTGTACACTTGAAAATCTTGGGAGGGTGGGGGGAAGAGTGGAACTGGCACTCTTGTAGTGGCTTATTTCTGACCTTTAGGTTTGTGATTTAAAAAAAAAAAATTCTTCATGCAATTAAGTAGAATTTATGTGGACTAGCAGTTACATTTGCAAAATATGTTTAAATTATCTACTGTTCTGGTTCTATATCACTTGAGTGGATGAATTTGTGTGTGACTTTCCTGTTAATGTGCCTGTAAAATAGGGAGTTAGAGAGGAAAACACTGAAAAGGAAAGGCATTGACTTGTAAACAAGTCAGAGAGCTCCGACTTCATTAAGAGATTAAATGATATACTTGGATACAGAGGTTTGGGATGTGAACGACATACTTAATGTTGCCTCGGGTATTATATGGATGTTTGTGGTATGTAAACCTGTAATGCATAAAATTGTTAATGCTATGTAATCAGATAACTCTCCTTGACTTATTCTACTGAAAACTTAAAAGAATTCTAAAATATTAGTACAGCTAAAAGCTGTTGTAGTTAAGTCCATTTAAAAGCCTGCTGCTTGGAGAAAGAGTGCTTGCCTTTTTCCCTGCTCCAGCCTTGAGAAAAAGGCTAGGGAGTAAAACATTTCCTTCCCTGCCCTCTTCCACATCCCCTGGTTCCCTTCCTTTTTCCTGCACTTGACCTTGGTGCTCATGGAGCTGAGTCACTCACTGGGCTGGTTCAACATGATAAACTGGCAGAAAACTAAACTCCTGCAGAGGGGAAAACATGCTTCCCCTGTTTTGGAGTTGAGGTGAGCGAGTGCTGCAAAAAGTCTGAGAATGGCTTGAGTTGTGTCAAGGTGGGAGGCGGGTAAAGCTGAGAGCGGAGATGGAATTAAAAGAAGAGGGAGAATGGGAACTTCCCCTTTGGCTCACCCTTAGCCTATATAGCTCAGCATATAATTTTGTTCCAATTGTTCAGGAATCTAGAATTTTATCAGTTTTGATTGGATTGTCTGGCTTAAAAAACAAGTAGTTGTTCTGCAATTTCCTTGACTGCACTAGTACCTTAAAAAAAAAAAACAAACCAAAACAAAAACCAAAACAAACAAAAAACCCAACAAAAAACCTCCACCAAACCCACAACACTATTTTTTGCAGGAAAGCAGGTTGTATGCTGTTTGACTATTAGATCACCAGTAAAGTAGTTCTTGTATCTTATTAGCAAGGCACTTATCAATTATTTTGCGCATTTATCCCCTTTCACACGTTCTTATCTGATACTCATCTATGTGATAATGGAGTAAGCTGGGATGTTCTTACTCTATGTTCTTCACTCCTTCATAATCATCTGAAATTCTATAGCCTTGTATTTTCTGGTTATGTGACACCCTCACGTGTGTGAAGGAGGGGAAGACTTGGGTGAGTGGCTATTTGGCTGGATTATAGCACTGGCCAAAGTAGTACTTGGGAAGAGTAGGGAGGCAGAGTGGAAATTAATGCTTGTATTGAACAAAATAGTTGAGGGTCAGAACCTGCTGACGCAAATATGCACAAAGTAGCAGAAAGCATATGTGCCTGTGCAGAAGCGTATGTGCCTGTGTCTTTTAATGTGTTTGTAATACACTACAAGGGAAGGGTAGTGAGGAAATAGTAACTGGTTGAAGAAGAGAAGGAAACAGGAGTCTGTTGTAGGCAGTAATGAATGAAGTTTTATGAGAAATTCTGGCGTTCATTTGTGTTGGGTTTTTTATTTGTTTTCTTCACACATAGCAGTAGTGACTGTCTATTACATAGACATGTCAAAACTTTATAAAGTTGATCAAATCTCTGTTGTTAACAGTTCTGCATGTCAGGTGTTTCAAAGCATAACTGGTATTTTTAGCATCCCATAGTATTATTTACCTAGCCACAGCAGTGTCTTAGTTCTCATATTGGTTTCTAAATAACTCCTACAAAATCTTTTTAAATTGAAGACCTTCAAATACAAGGAATATCAATGACAAACATTGATCATTTACCAAGAAGTCATCACATAACTAATGAAGCACGAATGCTGTGAATTTTGGTAAAATGCTAATTCCTGGAAAACCAGGAAATAGTTGAGGCAGGTGTGTGTGTGTGTATATGCTCAATGGAGGGAAGATGGGTTAATCTTACTGAGATGTCTAGTATATTTTCAGTCAGCCTGTGCTGAAACACAGAACCAGTCTGTAGTTCAGAACTTACTGTACAGAAAAATACAGTATTACATGTTCCCCTTCATTCCATTGCAGTTTGTCCAGTTTTCTGTACTCTGAAAAAAATGCAAACTGATGTCTTCACTTTTTTTTTTTAAATCTCCACAGGTTAGTTATCCCTCTGTGCCCTGTTCATGTGCTTAGTCAGTAGCGTGCACAGTGTTTCCAGTACTGGCTAAAGGCTCAGGTCTAGGGATATGCATGGGAGCATGGGTTGGCAAATATGATACTGTTTTCCACGTGCTCTTCCAGGCTCCAACAACTTGTGGGCCAGAAAAAGATGAGCCTTCTATGAAACTGGATTAGTTTCTCATTTTTTGGTGAGTTTAGATTTTTAGATTAAGTTCTAAATTTTTTTTGTATTCTAAATACACTCAATGAATTTCTCTTCCATTCTCTTATGCAGTGAGGAATTAACGTATGCTTTTGGCACCTCAGAAACTGTGGCAGTAAGATCTGCTGCTCAAAGGCAAATTACCTCGTTTGTTTGTTTTCTGATCCAGTCATCAGATTAAAGGCATCCAATCATGCTAATACTTGTCAGATCCGTCTCCAGATCACTCAAGATTTTTTATAAACCTTGTCCCATCTTAACCCTATCACCTTTTTTCCAAACTGAAGACTCTTATTTAGTTATTCTTTACATGGAAGCTATTCCATACTTACTGTTCTACTTTCTGTCTTTCTCTGAACTTTTTCCACTTCTGTGCATTTTGAAATGGGAGACATTCCAGAATTGTGCATGATAACCAAGTTGTGAACAAACTGATTTTTTTTTTTTTTTCCCCATGCATTTGTCTAATATGGATTTTTTTTCCCTTTTCATTCCCGATGTTCAGGTTGTGGTTTGAAAAGTGATTATTGAACTGGTGTTTTTATGAAACAATCATAATCAAAGTATCTCATTCATGAGAGGTAATGATCAGTTGGAGTCCAAGTAGTTTAGGATTGTTTTCTTTCGTGTATGTATAGATCTACTTTTAAATCTCTACGTCAAATTTTGTCTGTTGGTTTAACATTCATTTAGTCTTGGAGATCTGCAGCTCTCCACAGTTGGCCTGTGCCTTGACTATCCTAAATAACTTGAAATAGTTTCATACTGTCACATCTCTGGTCACCTCATGTTTTTTATTTTTGTTGCTGTTTTTTATTAATGTGT